CACAAGACCAGACTCCTGGTCACTGCTATGCTCTGCCACACCACTATCCTCAAGGAATGTTCTTATGGCCCCACTCCCTGGTGGAGGAAGTCCCTACAGCAAGGCTGAGTCAGCAGTGTCAACCTTCTTCTCTAAGAATTAAGAGCACAAACCTCATCCCTTTCTACACCAAATGTCTTCTATGTTGAGTCTTCTGACAGCATGCAATTAATAGTAGCATGACCATTAAAAACAAGCAAACTGGTAAAAAGGAACCCTAACCAGAACTCTCAGCTCCTTCCTCAGAAAGGGAAAGGAGGAGAGAAGAAATAGCTCCCAACAGATGTTAATTTTTGTGCTTAACATGTTACTGGAAGCTGCTTCAAACACAGTGACAAGCACAGTATAAAAGCTTTCATGGAATAAAACAGATTAACAACTATATTTATTAAGGGCTACATTTTCAGCCAGGCCTCTGCAAACCTATCTGAAAAAGCAATTTTGCTTATGTTTTCCGCATGCACACAGTCAATGAATATTAAATACTGCTGCAAACCCCTTAGCTTGGTTATATGCCACGCTGATTAAGTTACCTTGAATTAGATTATCTCTCTTCCCTTCCACCAGCATTCCAACACATTCCTCTGGAAGCACTGAGGGTTATATACCAGAAAGGTGCACAACACCCCTTAGGGGGTTATAGTCCTTTTCCCCTCTGACACTGGAATAACAACTTTACCCAATTCAATTATTCCTTACTCAAACAAACAATAAAGTGCTCTTGTCTCTCCACTGCACAATTCTGTGTAACTTTTTATTCAGACCTGTATGCCATGCCTGTTAGCTTCTTTTTTAGTTTCACAAAAGGCTGACTTGCATTTAGCACTGGTTTTCCACTTTCCAATGGCTACGTACAGTTTGAAGCCTTTACACTTAGAAATAATGGAGTTTTATTTTTTTTTTGCAAACAGAGAGAGGCTTTGCCACAGACAACATTTCTTCTACAGTACACAGTGGCATCCCAAGAGTTGGCTTCTGTCTATAGGCATTGTTTTCTTTGAAAGAAATCTTCCAGAAGGAGGAAGAACGTGCATCACCGAGGAAGCCAAGAGCAGTGGCTGGCTTTGGTTCACACGGGAAGGGACGCAACAGCTACCAGTGGAAATTCGCTCCTGAGAGCTATGACGTGAAATTTTTTAATGGGAACGTGTTTCTAAGTTTTGGGAACATCTGGAGGCTCACACAGAACCCAGGGAAGAGCAAACACATGGTAACACAGCAGCGCTGTCTCACGGCAGCTTTGCAGTCCAGCGACCAAATTCAGACCCTGCTCAATTACACACAATAAAGTCACTGCAGCAGATAAGAAATAAGAAGCATCTGAGAGCAGAAATGGGTAGAGTTGACTGAAACCCACACATTTCACCTAAAGCCCTGTGTGCACCTGTTTCTTTTCCCCACTGACTGTGTGACAGCCCCAGTGCAGGCACTGCCACACAGCTCTGCTCTGCTCTTAACCAGCAGGGTCATGGGCAAAGCCAGCCCAAGCCCTGCCTTCAACCAGGGCTGGAAAAATAGGTCAGGGAAATAACATTATAATCTGATTTAACTGCTACTCAAAGCATCAAGGTCTCTCCATTAATTTGACCGAGAATTGGACTGGGCCCAAATTACTGACAACAAAACGGGAGGTTTATTTTAACGCCTTCACCGTTTCATTTAAAACCTTCCAGGTGAAGAACCAGAAAATAAGATTCCCCCCGTGCCTTCAGGTGGCTACAATGCAACTTAAACTCGTATGTAAACCAGTTACATAATGCTTAGAGCTGGGGGGTGCCATAAAACAGAGGAAGAGCTCAAAAAACCCAGTGTTTGAGCAGAGGACCTCCAGGATTTCCTCCTCAGAGTGCAGTGAAGAGTCTGCAGTTTCACAGCATCTCACCCAGACAGAAATCTCAAAGGCCAAAGTAAGAAGAGAAAGACTATCTGGAATTAACTTCCCAAGCACCACAGCTCATAGCAGAAAGATTATTTATTTGATGAAAGCAAAAAGAACTTCATATTCTGTAAGAAAAATAAATTTAAACAAAAAGAGAAAAGAACAAAGGTCTGCCAAAGAGGCTTGTTTTGGCAAATAATGAATGCCTAAAGAAATATTGTTTGTATTGTGCAATGAACTTGTAATTAATGTTTGTTTGCTCACCATTTAATAGCTGTTCTGCACTAAGTGATGGGATTTTGCTGCCATTTGTGAATGTGCAGATTTTGAAACTTCATTTCCCATATGGAAGAGCTCCCAGGGGGTCATATCATAAACCCATTCAAATGAACCAAACAAATGACAAGTATCTGTACAAATGTGGAAAATGAGGGAGCTGTCTGCAGTATTTTATGTAAGTATTGTTAAGTGCCTCAGTTTACTTGTGTGGTATGTTTCTGCTTGACTGCACAGGAGTAAATCAGAAGAGGCTGTTGAGCTGAAAACAAAAGCATCAGAAATACAAAACTCCTTTGGATGTGATGAGGGGCCATGAAGTGGAAGAGTCCCCTCTTTCTGTCCAGCCAGCCTGGCCGTGTTTATGCCTCTCACACCCACCTCTAAATCTAAGGGGAGTCTGAAATCTCAAAGCAATGATGAGACAGGCCAAAAGGAGAAATGTGTTGGACTCTGCTTGCCTGGGACATGGGAATTTGCCTCTCACAGAGTCACTCCTAGAACAGCAGGATTGTCCCAGTAACTCAGAACAAGGTACAGGGGCCTTGCCTGTCACCTGAAGGGACAAAAGGAGCACAGCCTGCTCTGTGGCCAAGTCTGATGCAATATGAACTGTGACAGGTTTAATTCTGCACAATTCCCAGCTCCTACTGGAAGATAACACACACCCCTTAATCTCCAAAATGATTTTTAATTCAGTGGTTGTTTTCTCAAAGGAAGAGATGTTCTTGACCGTAACACCTTCATGGTATTACATGGCCTTGCTTCACGGCATTTTCATACTTCCATCTGAAGTTTCCAGTTCTCCTGGACCCGAGATTCCTATTGATCCTCAAAATCTGCCAGAGATGACTACGCACTCATCTCACAGCTCTTACAAAGGAGGGCTTTCACAGTGACACAGTGCTGCACATCACTCACAACAGCCTCCCAGGTCACCTGTATCCAGCTGTTCCTGGGGAATGACAGCTCCACATCACTCTGCCCCATGGCTATGTTTGATATATCTTCAAGGTATTTGACTGCTTACTTAGAAGCCAAACTTTCCACTTGCAGATGAAAACCTGATCTCTCTGAAGACACCAAGAAGAAAGCTTTGGTGGGTGGAGGGAGGTCCCCACTAGGAAACAAATACGGGAATTTTAAACTTCCCTGCAAGCTTGGAGTGGGAGAGGAACACACAGACCATGAAGAAGTGGCCTGTAAATTGGACAGGCTGTTGCTGAGATATTGGCCTGTGAAAAAGCCAGAAAAAACTCAGAGCAGGAGACACACCCCTGCTGAAGTGGTCCTGCATACAGCTGCCTATTTTACTGGTAGTTTTGTCAGAAATGAGATTGCTCTGTGGTTATTTCCCACACCAGCTATGTGAAATATTCACTAAACAGAAAAAGCAGTGAGCTCTGGCTGAGGGCAGCCAAGGAAGTGGTGGTGTTCATCAGCATTAAGCACCGTTGCACAAACAGGGCTCAAAATGAAGCTGTGCCAGGAAGGGAGGGAAACAAAGTGAGACACAAACCAAACTACTGCCATGAGCTAAACAGCAACACAGAAAGAATGTGCTCTTTTCTAAAAGCTGAGGAAATCAGCGTCCTCCACTTTTTCCAATTCTTCAAAATTGAACTTAGCACAGGATGAAAACTTTTCTACTTAACGAAAGTATAGAACACTGATACTCCTCTAAGTGCAGCATTTGCTGAAACACAACCTTAACGACAATTTAGTCCCCTGTTACAGGTCTTTCAGCTGCTCTTGAACCTCATCTGTTTTCAGGAGCAATCTGCTCATCTTTGACACCCCAAAATGGCAGAAATCAAAAAGTTATTATGCTGTAAGAACAACTGAAAAGCAAAGTGCTGAACTTGATAAGGAAACTATAACCTCCCTTTATGTTCACAACTCTGCCTTCCACGAAATGTAATTTAAAGAGAGAATTTAAGAACTTTATCTTGGAAATACTTCTTCCTCCAGGCAGATTTAGCTCCCAGATCTTCTACTCGATTCTGCCACTAAGAAAGTATTAGGAAAAAAGTAAAGGGAGAAAAGGAAGAATACACACAAAATCGACTTGAACACTAGAAAAATGTTCATATATGAAAAATAGACCTCTAAGGGCCACACTGGGAGAAATATATTTATATTTAATAATCATTAATCTGAAAAGCAAACCATGGAACTGCAGCAAAACGCTTGTTGCAAATGACATCCAAAAATTTTGAGAAAGAGAGTTGAAGTGGGGAATAAAGTATATGGTTATAGATGCAGTGATGGGTGTTCAGAAAAGCAGAAGTGGCTTGAAAACATTTTAAAAACCTGTGAGTGTGACTCTCCTTTCATTTTTACCCAAGGAATCTTGGTTTAGCTGGGCCAAAACTTTGTACTGGGATAGACAGGGATAAGGCAAGTAAGTCAATAAAAGAGTATGTCAGGCTAAATCTTAAGCAGAAAGGTTAAATACTTCCACCACATTTTTTAAATTACAAGATTGCAGATTTTCACTTCTGTGATTTGTGATTCATCTTACAAAACATAAATTCGCATCCCACCATCTGTACTTTGTTCTTGCACAGTGAATCCACACAATTTTTACAGTTTTTCATTGTGCTAACACTACAGTCTCAGAAGAAAATAATTTTTTTTTTTTAATAGATTGAAGAAAAACACAACTGCTGTTCAACTCACTAAAGTTAAGTCTTTACTCAGCAAAATGAGTGTGCTGACATACCCAGGCCTGGGCATCAGACAGGAGCAGAGTAGAACACATAAAAAAATGACATAAAACCCCCTTTGAAACTGTATTTTGTACCTGAGGTAGCACTGCTGGTCCTTGTCCTGCCAACCTCTGCAAGGAGCTGACCTGAGGAACCTTAATGGGCACTGCAGTGATAGTTCCCAAAGTCTGTTGGAAGAAAAACAGGTGAACACAGCTTAGAACAAGGGAACACAGCTTAAAACAGTTGCAGAGCTTTCCCAGATAGAATCCCTCTGACCCAGCCATTCCCTTTCAGCTCTTTCTCTCTTCCCAGCTGCCACCGCTGAAGGTTCTCCAGGCACCAACTTGTGTTCAAAAGGCACTTGAAATGCCCCACAGTGAAACTCCAACAAGGGCATTGGGAAGATGATGCATTTCATGGTAGCCAGGGTAGCAAGAAGTAGTTTGCTGGGAATTGGTAAATAGTAAATACTGAATCATTACCTTTAAATCTACAACACCACAGTGCAACACAACATTCAGCTAAAATGACACCCTTTGGGGCCAGAACAGCAGCTATTTCCAGCCATGTTTATTTTTACTACTCACCCTTCTCTTAGTTGCCTAACAAATTTATTCAAAGCTTATTTAAGATAGGATAGAATAATCTGACAGCTTATAAATTTAAGACTGGGCCACGGGTGTAAAGAACATAGGTAACTTTTCCCCTTCAACCTCTTCCATTCCTTCATTCCTGATTACAATTCACAGAATCACTGACTAGTTTGGGTTGGAAGGGACCTTAAAGATCATCTAGTTCCAAATTCCCTTGTCATGGGCAGGGGTACCTTCCTGGCTTTGGACACTTCCAGGGATGGGGCAGCCACATTTCCTAACCAAAAGTTCATATTTTGGTTAACTGGCCAATACTCTTAAGGCAAGGCTTTATAACTTCTATCTAGTGCTTCTTAATTGCTGTTGGGACAACACTGGCAGTATAACCAAGCAGATGATTGTCATCATAACAGCAAGAGACACTTAGTCACCGCTCACAAAAACTTACCAGGCTGCTAAAAACAGCTAATAAGGAAAAAAAGAATAGACTCAACTCAATTCCTCTAAATTTAACTCGGCTCAAAGCAAAAGTTTTGGATCACAGCCAGTAAATAAAGTATGTTAATATTCCCCCAATCTGGTAATGAAATTTGTCAATAGAAGCTCATGGAAAGTGAAGCTGTGTCACATCCACCTCGATTTGTTCTTCTCAGACCTCACCCACAAAGCGGTAAAAGAGTCTCTATTTCATTCTGTCTCCAGTGTTTGATAAAAATACCCAGCATTTTCAGGCAGAGTATTTGTAATGAACTTGTCCTGCAGAGTTTATATTTTTAACTCTGCTACTCCTCTCAGAGACATTTGGGGGTGTGATGTTACATATTCAGCAAAGATTAACATTTGCATAAGATTTGCCTGAGTTAAACATCAAGGAGGGCTGAGCAGTCACGAGCATGCAGGACAAATTTTCCTAAGGTGAATACAAAAGTGACCTTTCCCACCCACGCTAGAGGAGCAGAAAGTTTACCACAGGTATGACCTATATTTTCCTACTGCCCCAAATGAGATTTCTTTCACCACACAGTGAAGCCCAAGGTTTACCTGGAAACACCAGGGCCACCACAGCTTCTCCTGGGCTGCACACACACCCTCTACAGAAAGTTAAAACAAGTTCTTCCTTCTGGAGGGTTGTGCCTTAGGGGTGGCTGCTGCCTCCAACCCTGCAGTCACACATTTTGATATTCCTATTCCAGGTACACGTGGATTGGCAAGGATTTTCTAACTGGACAACATAACACACGGTGTGCTCGGTCAAAGGTTGGACTCGATGATCTTGGAGGTCTTTTCCAACCTTAATGACTCTGCAATTCCATTAAAATAACAAAGTGCTGACAGTGAAACTGGGAACTGATTATAAAGATAAGAATCAAATTACTGAGAAGTGGGATAAGTAACAGTCATCAATTGATAAGATGCACAAGAACTCCGCGTCTGAGCAACAAATCTCTTTTTCTTGTACTGCTTGAAATAGTTGCAAGGAAAAGAACCAATCAACCCTTTCTAGAACAGAAAGCCTCTGTCCTGTGAGGAGGGAGCTCATCTCGGCCTCTGAGGGCACCACCGGGTCAGTTCTGGCTTAAGTTTCAAAACAAGTGAGCCAAATGGGATGGGAAGCAGAGAAGAGACAAGAAACACCGTGAAACTACTCTGCACTGTTCTCTCAGCTTCACGTGAAGGCAAAGCCAGGATGAATTGTCAGTGGGTGTCAGAGAAAGCAACTACATTAGCCCTGTCACCTGCACTCTCAAAAATTCATCAGATTTATTATTCTGAAGTAGGAGTTCTGCAGTGATCTCGAGAGAACAGAAACAAATTATGCCACTCTTAGGTTATGAAATTTTCAGTGACAAAGATGCAGCCTCCTGTCCACAAATGGTTTTATAGTTAGGATCTGTTATTTAATATTCAAGGAAACAATCCCAGTATAGAAATTATATGACCAAGGGAAAATTCAAGACTTTAATCTCACATTAATAATAGCACTATAGTATGTTCAGACAAGGAGATATCTAAGCATCTATTTTACTTTTCACAATTTACATTGTTTTGCTACTGTTTCCCAGCTTGGGCAATAAATAGTTGAAGCTGTTAAATCAGCAGGATTCGATGACAGAAGCCTCTGTACTTTCCCTGTAACACGTTTCATCTGTTATCTCAGGATACTTTGCCTAGGTCAGTATTATTGTCTCCGCTTTAGTGATCAAAAAAATCTAGATTTAGAGGTAAAAGAAGGTTGTCAGGGCTACACTGCTGTGCAGGTGAAAATCCAAGCCAGACTTCCAGTGTCTCATCCATGGGGTTGATTAACCTCATCTCATCTGTGCGCAGAGAGTTCCATCTGAGCCACCTAATCTTCAGGACAAGGTTTTAAGGACGGAGCAGGATGTCTCCCTGATGATGGGTGAAAGAGGTAAAGTGCAAAGCAGGGAATCCCAGCTGTGGGCTCTGCAATGAAGGGGGTGCAGGTGCCAGAGGGGTGGTTGGGCAGTTTGGCTCTGGGTGCATTTTTGCACTGCTTTGTCCCAGTTCGAGTGGCAAATAAAGGAGCAGAGCCTGGTAAATAAAAACATAAATAAGGTCCTTATCCGATGTCCTTGGCCAGGCAGTGAGAACTGCACAAACCCCCCATGGCTCAAGCTGTGACAGGTCAGAAGCTGCTCACACTCCCTGGCCCCTCAGCCCTGCAGGAGAGGAGCAATCAAAGGCACCTCCCCACCAAGCTTTTGTTCCTCCTCTTACCAGTGGCACCTATTTTCCCTCCCAGACTGTCCAGGATTGCCCTGGTGAGCCTGGTGGATCACAGACTTGTCACACACTAATTCCACACTATCGTTCTCATCACTGTGGGCCTATTTTTTTGCTCCTTCCTCTTTTCCAATTTGTCCAAAGAGCAAGCGGGTGCACATTCTTATAAACCTTTAATTAACAAGCTGAAAAGACATTTTTCTGGCAATGCCTGACCTTTAAGCACTTTGTATGAATTTATCGATACCAGCAGAAACAATAATTTAAAAGGTTATTTTATGAGTGCTGAATAGTTTATGGCAGCACTTTTGTCAAGATAAACGAGTTCCTTATTTCTACATTTAAAGCTCTAAGCATTTTAATAAAAAAAGGTCCATAAAAGTCAAAGATAACTCTGAATGTCTCCTCTACCTAAGTCTGTTTGGGCTTTTCTGGTGACCCCCTGAAACTCCTACGGTGTGGAGGGATGGGGGAAAGAGAAGAGCCAAGTTTCAGCTGGTCTCAGGTTTGACTGGGTGCATTTAAGGGATCCAAATGAAACCATCCTCTTCGGTGGTCACTTTACGCACTAAGAAAAGAATAACTTTAAAAAGGGAAAACCAACTCAAAAGCCCCCAAACAAGGAGACGCAGTTGCATTAAAAGACAAAAAAAGCATTCAACCAAAAGAAAATTAAAAATTTAGGAGATGTTGCCAAGTGCAGTTAAAAAAGCAAATCACTTTTCACCCTCAATTCTATTCATACCCAATAGCATTGTAACTATTTGCTGTATTTTCTCCTCCTATGCTTCTCCTGCATTAAACCAACACCATCCCTGGATCAAGGCTCTCACAGACAACTGAGGGACACAAGTGTGGGGACAGGGGCAAGTGGAAAACATAGAAAGTGAAACAAAGAAGCGTGGCATGAATGGGGAATAAGAATTCGAAGGCTAGAGATGGTTAGAGGATAAAAGGATGAGGAGGCAGAAAAAAAGATGAGATTTACATTGTCAGTGATCAGAGTAAGGGCCATATGCTCAGTTTCCAACTATCATGTTTTGACTTATTTAGTCAATGCCTGAGTTTTTAAATCAAGGACTTATGCATATTTGTGTTTTTAGCAAACTTCCCCATGTCAGACCTGAATGAATTTATATTTATATATATATATATATACACACAGATATGTATCTCTATTGAAAGATATTTGCATTTTACTCAGTGTGTGTAAATCCATTTGTCAGAACATTGCTATGTTTGCTTCTTTGAATTACAAATATTTCTCTCCCCCTTCTTTGGATGTACCAAAAAAAAAGGCTTAATAACCTATTCCTATCATTCATTATCCACACAAACTCATTGTTGAGCTTGGGTCCTCGAGCAGCTGAGGATTAGATCACTGATGTAAAACTGTCCTCCCTTTCCAGAATTACACCAGGATAAGTAAAATCGCTCCAGTCACTCACCAAAGAGAATCAGGCTCAGCGAGTAACAGAAGGTTAAAGAGCCACACAGTTTGAAAAGCCTTTCACTACAGCACATCACCAAAATAAGTGCTTAACTCAGGAACATATGGGTTTGGTGTAGCTCAGCTGAACAGTTCAATTATTTGAGTTCAACTGACACTGCATTGCTGTATTATTTGCAAACTATTTTATACTGACATCAATACTGCAGCACAAATATTGTGCCCCTGCAACGTATTATAGAAACACTAATCTTTTCCTTTTTAGAGTACATATGCATCTCTCTAAGATCTAGGTCCTCTTCGTGTTGCAAATAAGACACCTAAGCTATTAAAAAAATGTTTTTGTCTGTTATGTGTTCAATATTGGCAACAACAGTTTTACAGAATGGATTTTTAA